TTTTGCCAACCTAAGCCAGTTTCCATGTTACATACCAATATAGACAACATCTCTGTTTAGAAGTGGAAAGCAAAATATATTTTTTTACCCAGTCATATAAAACATGTTTGGCTCTAATTCACTGGTCAAATTTGCAGAATACCGAAAATACAGAACTAATTTAGGTTTAAAGGCCTTTCTACTAATAAATCAGTGCACATGCTATTTGTGTTCTAACAAATGCAAAACTCAGTCAGCTGTGAATTGATATGAATCCATCTATAATGTATTACAATTTCTGAATCAAGAGAGAAATGTGATAAATGTAATTTCCATACTCATGTAGAACAGATGTCTCACTTCAATTAATACCATATTCATTAGTGGAAGCTTCAACAGCATAGCTGTGGTAAATTACAGTTTCTCAAAACACTTCTATTTTATGTAGCTGGGCAGCTAAAATGAGATTTAGAGTATCAAAATAGGAGGAACATTAACGCCTTTTATTTGGAATCCTCTACCAATACTTAAGGAAGGCATACAAAGTTGCAAGATGATACAGGACATAAATACATACAGAGGTATTGTCATGAGTACATTCCTTTATTTTGATTGGATATGGTGTTTCTTTAATGCTCTTTGATATGTCCCTCTCTTTCTGTTAGCAAATAATGCTGCCACCAGGAATTTAATTTGACTCTTATTTATTCACTTGTCCCTCAATATTGTGCCCAAGCTATAAGGATCCTTCATTGGACTATGAAGTCCTGAGGATGAGATGCTGATATTCAAATAGCCTATGGCACTGAGTTAACAACAACAACTTTATTTTTATCAGAAGCATTTTGGTTTAAAGATGTTCAGTACCTTATTTCCTTAGAGAGCAGACAATGTGTAATAACAACTTCTGACTGAGGTATCTCAATCTTTCTCTCCACAAACACTCCTCACACAGAGATCCTCCTGCACTCAGGTTTCAGTCAGCTTCTCTCTCACACACTCTTATAACACTTGACAATATGAGGTTTTGACTCTCCCTAGGCACTAATATATGGGACTGCAGGTGGCGCAGTGGTTTAAACTTTGCTGCTGGGCTGGTTGATTGAAAGGTTGCCGGTTCGAATCTGCACAACAGGGTGAGTTCCTGTTGCTTGGTCCCAGTTCCTGCCAACCTTGCAGTTTAAAAGCATGCAAATGCAAGTAGATAAACAGGTACCACTTCGGTGGGAAGGTAACAGCATTCCGTGCACCTCGGTGTTCAGTCATGCCGGCCACATGACCACGGAGACTGTCTGCGGACAAACGCTAGCTCCCTCGGCTAGGAAACGGAGATGAGCACCACCCCCTAGAGTCAGGCATGACTGGACTTAATGTCAAGGGGAAACCTTTACCTTTACTTAGGCACTAATATGTCCTTCAAGTATTCTACTTCCTTCCCTTTGTCCTTACAAATCCTAAATGCCTTCCACAGCACTATCTAGGATTCTAAAGAGAAGGCTGTCTCTTTAAAGTCTGCAGATTTGCTGACTGATTCCACCTAACTGTAACTGCTGACAGAGCACAACTTGACTGTTACCTTCCACCTGACTGAAAAGTATCTGTTTCTGTGTCCTCACACACTTCCAAGCTCCTCCCACACACTCTCAGTCACCAACCAACCACCTCACTCACTCATCCCCCTCTTTTACCCCCCCCCCACTCTTCTGACACCTAAAGGAACACAGTCCCAGAACACTTTAAACCATTATATCTATTTAGGTCAGGATCTACATACAACAATTTTTCCCCTGCCCCAGCAATTTAAATCCAGAAAACAGGATTTTAAACCAGTGTTTGAAAGCAATGCAGAAAAAAATGCAACTCGCTGTAGACCAATTACTAAATATCCATTTCAGATTCCATCCTTAAACCATCAAGTAACTTTGGCAAATTGTGGCCTACTGGGTTGAACTGCTCAAACTGTTTCTGCTGTCAATAGTTCAGACCAATTCGAGTAGCAGTCTAATGTTACCATATCATGTAGAGTGAAGTACAAGCCTTCAGCATCATAAAAGCAATAGAAACAATTCTGAGCTCTCCAGACTCTAAAATTTGTTTCAGAGATCATAAAACTAGTGTTCCATAGACTAGCATATACAGTGCCCTACCACCAACCAATTACGTGATTTTAAAAGTATCTAATTTGGACAGATGGATTACACTGGGGATGCTAACTAAGCAATAAAAGCAGTCTGAAGGGTTATTTTCCCCTACTTTAGTAATCTTGTTACAAGCATGTCGTAAGATAAAATAGCACAACATTTGCCTGAAGAGCAGCAGCATGCATCACAGTGATGAAGAAAATCAACAAAGTTTTCCTGATGCACAAATGGTTAACTTTGCCAACAGTCCAGAAAGTTCATGTGTCTTGCATTTATCAGAATGAAATTAAGTCTAACATAGTTAATCTACTTACCTGCTCAACTTGTTTGTAATGTAATACATCTATTAGACATGGAGTTATAGGAAAGAAAAATAAAATTTTACTTTTAAATTGAAGGAGTTACTTTCAGGGAAGGCAGGGAAGATTTAAGACACACAGACCAGTTTTGAACAGCAAGCTTCAGTGTTAGGCCACTTAATCCTGTCCCCATTTGGGGTTGTCATGTCATGTAAATCCAGCAAGCGTAGATTATATGCAGCTTCATCATGGGTTCATCATGTGAACAGCTGACTGCAGCATGTATCACTGCTGAGCATATTCTATATG